TAATCATGTTGGATGCTAGTTACATCTTAGTAGTTAGTACAAATAATTAAATATAGTGATGTAATGTGATACTTAGCCCAAATCAATGCTAGATTGGTTTGGATTAAATGACATGGCATAGCTTGAGTCAAATCGAGCTCGAGTCACCTCTAATTTGAGCTTAAACTTGATTAATTATACTAGTTTGCGCCTGAGCTCAAACTTAATTCTACGAGATCAAGATGGCTCAGGAGTTTACTCATTTATCATGAAAAAAAAAAATTTTTTGATACAAGCAATTCTTATAATAAAATGATAAAAAGAATTAAAAATTTAGAAAAAAAAAAAAGGAATTACTTGGTATAAAAAATAAGATATAATTTTAATATTTTTAACTTTAATTGAAACTCTTGAATACTAATATATTTAGAATGCATTTTACGTTAATATTTTTTAAGCAAGACAGTCCGCAAGCTGACGAGTCAAATCGGGGTTAACTCAAGATTGACTTATGACTCATACCCTTAGGGCCAACATCTGGTTCTTCTTGGTGGGTTGGCGCATTAGTAAAACATGCTCTCAGACACCTCATCTTTTCAAGCATCATTGTAATCATATCGTACAAGAAAGGACTTGTGAGTCGTGACAGAGTAAAATCATGCACCATTTTACACATCATTTATCATTACAAATATATTAATTTATGCCTGAATCTTTTAAATAATGCCAAACAAACAAATTCACATAATTTTTTTTATTCTCTTTATCATACCAATTTGCAAGAAATATATTTTATTTATACATCGATATCATGATGATTTTTTAGATTATATTTGAAGAGTATAGCATTGCTCCTTTTAAATCTCACTCCTCTGCCAGGTAAGACTGCCCGTGCACTTGGATTAGGGCATATGCAAACAAGAACGTGATTTTTCACAGTAAAATACAGCAAAACGTCGTGATTCTGCTCCAATCGAATTCCATTTTAGATGCTTCTGCGAAGGTAACGATCATTCTCCCCTTTCGCGCGTTTTTTCGCCAAATTCTGTTGTGAGAGCAAAATAGCGTGGGTGAACAGTGCAACGCCAATGTTGACGTTGCGTTGTTCACCCGCAAATAAATGGTGGAAGATTTGGCGTTCGGCTGGAGCGACTGAACGATGTCATACGCACGTTTGGCATTCGTTGGAGATGCTCTTAGATGCCCGGCAATTTTTTCATCCATTCTGTCACAAAGATTGAATGCTTAACAAAAGACAACAATCTGCTAGTTCACCATCAGAAGCAAAGAGAAGAGGAAATGTATTTACATCGGATACAGAAAAGAACGAAAAAATTAGATAAACATTGAATAGATTATAGTGCACAAAATGAGAGCCATAGCATATGTTCCATCAGGAATCAAAATCAGGCTCATCATCTGTGCTCCAACTAATGATGTGGTCAAATGAAATCCATAAAAGAAAACAGAGAACTATCAGGCTAAATATATAAAAGGCATCATTATCCAATAATCGAAAAGCGAATGATATTAAGTAAAATGATGATAAGCATGTCTCCAATGTAATGCTAACCAGAATTGCCAATTTAGAAACCAACTAGTCACCCATACAGTCAACCAAGTAGATATTAAGCCCAATACCATAAACCGTATCCAGCCAAAGGAAAGAATAAACCAATTCAGAGCCCTGCATTGGGTACCCATACAGGCCACATCCACCCATGTATCCACCCATGGGTAAGGATGGATATGGGTACGCCCATAGCCTTGTGGGTGGGTATGGGTGTGTACTCAGCATCGGGGGATAAATCTATTTACATTGTTAATCACCGTATATCTTATATTACTGCAATCTTCACTACGTAATGTGCAGCACTTAACCACGTTGCGACTACGGTAAATTTTGATATGCGTCTTGAAAGTTTACAATTAGAGCAAATGGCAACAAGCTTCAAGGCCATCAATCCGTAGCAGACTGCATTCAAAAAGTATGGAAAGTGGGTGTGTATAGGTGGGTATAACTTTAATTTTAAAACTCAAAATTAACTATACAGTCGAAACAAAAAAAAAATATTACTCATGATTAGGCAGAAAGTTGTTGTCCACTGATTACTAGATGACTATATATGTAAAGGAGTTGGCCATGAATTTAAGATTATTACAACAGCCTCTCAAATTGGGTTACATATACTGATCATGCCCAACTTACTATTTAGATTATAATAACTTATTTTGCGAAAAAGTCTTGCTGAGCATACATGTAGTTTGAATGTTCATTGAAATATAAATTGATTGGGCTAATTCATTTTTAATCTTTTCCAAGATAAAATGTCAGTATTTCTCAATTTGTTTAGCATTATAATGGTGGACAAAATACCTTGAAACATGATAGAAAGTGCTTGCAGAAATTTAGGAAAATCATTGACTGAAATCTGATTTTAGTAATTTCAGAAAGCCAACTACAAGAAAATCATGAATAAAACACACTAGCACTTTTTATTGGAAGTTTTATGAAAGAAAAGACAAGATACATGTGTATCTTCAATTGGAGAGAGATCCGGCTCTCCCAAATCTCTAGCCGTCGGCTAGAGCCCAAACACCCTAAGAATTTTAATTTAATCATTATTATTATGGTAGAAAAGGTAAATAAAATAAAAAGTTCATGCATCTCAATTTGTGTGCTTCGCCTCAGAATTTGTGGTGTTTTCTTGTGCGAGGTTCCTATGCAATATTACATTCATTTTTATATAATTTGAATGTTCCGAACGCAACGGCGAAATGCGTTTTTTCCAATAAGACATAGCTTTGCGCAATATTTTTGGGCATAGCTCGTCGATTTCGATCATTTCCGCTTGATTTAACTGTGAAGGGCTCCCTCTCAGGTTATTTCGATGTTCTAATCGCAACAGTGCAATCCGTTTCGCAATAAGAAGTCATTTGAGCACATTAGTGCTGCGTCACGCCTGTCGGCCATTGCTCGCGTTGCTGATTTCAACCCCATTTTTGGATTTATTAATGCATAGGTCTGCATATACTAATAAGGTGATGATAGAGTTTGCAGCTTTGGTGAGGCTTTAGTAGGTTGATTTAGGAAAAATGAGGAATATTCATTATTCAATGGTTTGACGAGAGAGGATGTCGAATGACCAAATAAACATTGAAATTGAAATTCTTATTTTCAAATTTTCTACCATTGAATTTTGAGCCTGTGTTAAGGTTAGTATTTAAAGAAATTTATCACATCAAACTACAAATTCTTTTAGTGATCAAGGGTTAGCATTTATGCCTTTTCTGATTTGGGAAGTATTGAATAAATATATGTTTGAAAGATATAAGGTATGCTTGCTTCGGAGCTAAGAATGAATGTGAATGAAAATTGAACACTGAAAATTTTTGGGGGGAATAAAATAAATGAGTTTGATATTGGCAAATAAATAGATAAGAGTTTGAATAGGTGTTTGAAATCTAAGTTCTCTGAAAAGCATTCCATTAATAAGATATGTAAGCTCTTAAAAAAGCTTCTCCCAAGATATTAAAAATAACTATCAAAATCATCAATAATCTAGCCGCTTCTAAAAGAGGTGTTTACTTTTTCTTTCAGCATTTTTATTTTGTTGAGTGATGAAATATAAGCTTTAGTGGATAAACCCTTGATATAGGAGATGGTTTTTTTTTAAATCGATTCAAAGTATACTTTGGCAATATCAATTTTTTGGACTTAGATTTTTTACTAAAACAGTTTAGATCAAGTATTGAAATGTTTTAAAATTTATCTTGCTTCAGAGTTTTATTTAATTAAGAAAATCCACAGATTTTTTTGGTCACATTAAACGGAGGCCTTCCCATGACCCGGTTAGGCGGTTAGGAAAGTTGAGGCATTAGATTCGACTTATGTTAAGAAAGGTAGAGGTAGACCTAAAAAGACTTGGTTAGAAAATATTAGAAATGATCTTTCTTTATTAGATTTAAATAAGAATTTGATTTTTAACTGAACACAATGGCGAAAAAGGATTCATGTAGCGGACCCTACATAGTGGGACAAAGGCCTGATGTTGTTGTTGTTGTTGTAAGAAAATCCACATATTTGATCACTGATGATGGCAATAAATCATCTAGTTTCATATGTATCTTTTACTTCAGATAATCTCCATACATCACTATGTTTTGAAGAGGATAGAAAATTTTGTATGTTTGACAAGGATGGTAACTACCAAGTGCGTTTAACTAAATGGATATTTTACACTAAAAACCCATCGAGTTTTTATTGGTGAATAGTAAAGCTAAGGTGTCATAGGCAATAATTTTACACTAAAAGCTGCAGTTTTCTAAATCAATAAAACGTGATCTCTATCAGGCTCTCTATTTTCCTGAGCGATTATTTCATCTAAATTTGAAACTTCTTAAACAATTACCTACCAAGTTAAATCTTACTGAATTGTACGAGGGATGGAGAGAACTTCAGCCACATGCTCGCATGTAACGTTTCTCTTGGAACCCAAAAATCTGAAATGTGCTGCAAAAAAGAGAGATCAACAGTGATGTTGCCCTTTATTTTTAAACAAGAAGTCTGATATAAGTACACTATTCGATCCACTGGATGAATCATTCAATGATATGCCCCTTATTTTCAAAGAAGAATAAGACGCTCAAAATCTAGAAAAAAATAACTAATTTAAAAAGCAAATTAGAAGATTTTTCTTTGTGCAAAAGTAGCTTCAACCAAAATCAAATAGAACTAATAAATCAAAATGCTTTAAGCCTGCTAAATACGGTAAGACAGGTACCCTTCTCTAAGTTCATTAGCTATGATCAAAATTTACAGGATGAAATGGCGACCCAAAAGCAGCACAACAAGCAAATCAGATCAAATAACCAATTTAACATTTAGCATCTAGAATCGTAAGGAATTACCAAAAGACAATCTTCACTTTGTTAGGTATCTATGCTAACTAATATATCATTCAGACGAATACTCAGCCAGCTCAGAAAGATGGAATACTTAAAGTACATGAAACATGATAGACACTCAGGGTAAAGCACGCTTTCCTTAAGTATTCAGTAATCATTTCAAAATCCTCTTAAGGAAGCAATACTGAGATAGGACAAGAGGCAGCAGGTTGGACATGCATAAGAAAATAGCATTCATGTACATAGTCATATATCGCCAGAACATAAAGAACGGAGACAAATAAACATAGCGCAGCACCTATTAAACTTCTAATAAACCATGCTTCAAAATGTTCTGGAAAAAGAGAAATATGGCGGTAGAATAAGTACAATCTAATTGAGCTGATGGGTGCAACTAATGGTTGGTCTCGGAAGGCTGAGCATATGGAAAACCATCTTGTGGGGCAGAGGCAGGTGCGGCGCTCAAGCTCACAGTTGGATCTGTTTGATAAATTGTTGGAGCGCCATTTGTAGATGGAGCAGTTGCAACTCCAGATGCTGGTGGGGTAAAAATTGGTGGCCTAGGGAGATTGGTCATTGGCACCTGCATTGAAACTGCACCAGGAGGTGCCATAGATGGTGGGATGGCTGGAGCACCTGGATACCCTGAAATTGCAAAATCATACAAAGAACTTATATTAAAAAAAACAATTTTTCTCAAAATAAATTCCTCAAACAAAACTCTGGGTGGACAGAAAAACAGGTCGAAAGCCAATGCTAGATAGAATAAACATGTCTAAAGCAGAAAAATAATTTTCAGTGAAATAGGGTAAACAATTTGGCAAAAGAATTCTTTCTAATTTGATGTCTACACTAAAGATGCCAAGAATTCCATGTAATGATTCATGCCATCATCAGCTTTTATAATCATTAGTAACGAAAATGAGACATGTTATTCTGCATTTCAAAATGTATGGTGTCCATAGACATGCCATAAACATAATTTTTTTTTTCAAAATGCACAAAAGGATGTACAAAGCCGTGATTGCTGGTTCTAACATGGACGAGAAAGATAAGGAGTTGACCTTATTAGGTTGATAGCCATTCACAAATTATATTTGAAGATTTAAAAACATAAAAGGTTATTATAAAACTGGGGTTAGGTTTGGCAACCACAACACTAGTCAAAAAAACATCATAGTTCAAAAACTGAATGTACAAGATCAAGAACAAAGGAAGCACAAGTTATCCATTGGGCAGTATGAAACCAACATAACCTAATTAGGGGTGTCAATTCAAGCATGTTAGTTGGGTTTAGGCTTGATACACAAAATGACCTGACCCATAAGTGTCAAACGACACCAATGGTCCACTATTATACAGATGAGAAGTTTGAATCCAACTAGACTAAACACAGCAAGACCAAGATCCCACCTGAATAAAAAGTTGAATAATGTTGATTAGCAACAAAACCACCCAAATGGGCATGCCTACCCAAAATGAAAAGGACAACCATTGCTACCAATTAACTGTTTATTTGATCGTTTCTAATATACAAGGGAAAATTTTCATCACTATAGTATTTTCTATCAAGTGTTTGTACAATGAGCAATAAATACCAAACAATTTTTCAATGTAAAATCATCAAGAACAATACCGGAATGACTTGAAGAAGAGCAATGAGAGCGGAGGAAAGCAGGTTGTGCACTTAACCCATTGAACTGGGCAGTGGACTGCATTAAATAAACCACAATGGCTGCAGGGATGGAGACGGACTGCAGTTCCTGCAGCTGAAAGATAAGGACAGCAATTTGGTGGGCTGGGAAAGGGAGGACAGACTGTAGATTAGCGGCCTAGGAAAGGGCAGACAGCAGTTATCGGGAGTGGGAAGGGGCCAGACAACAGCTGGAGAGCAGGCCCACTTCTAGATGAAGAGGAAAGGAAGGAGAGAGGAACGAGGGGCGGAACAGCCAATTGTGGCAGCTCGATGATACAGAGAAGAGAGAAATCTGGGACAATTTATAAGATTCTAGATTATTTCCAAAACTTATTACAAAAGGGAGGGAGCTAGTTCTTATTTATAAAAAAGGCTACCTCAAGAGACCATTAGGAGGGAGACATCAGAAAAAAATAGAAATTTAAGAAAATTGTAGAAAATAACTGAAAAATTAAAAAAAAAAATCTGAAAAACAGGACCAGTTGGCTAGACCGGACCGACAAAGCTCCGGCATCATTCTCCATGTCTTGGAGAGGCTTCGGCATAATCTGAAGCTAGGTCTTCATAATGAGCCAAGTCCAACACATTGAAGTGGCGATACTTGATAATCGCCTGGCAATTCCAACTAGAGGCATTGTCGTTGATGCGCTTGACAAATAGGAAAGGCCCATCAGCCTTGGGTTTTAATTTGCCATGAGCATCAAGTGAAAATCAATGTTTTAAAAGGCGAAATCGGGAATCAAAACGTTTTGTCTAAGTGAGACAAGGCATAAGCCTCGAGGCGGATCGAGGCATAAGCCTCAAAACGGAAAAAATAAGCTATTGTAAAATTATAAATAATGATAAAAAATGACAAAATATTAAGTCAATTATGAACTATGATTTGTTCTAAGAAAAGGAAGAAAGCAATTATTTTCATGAGGGTTTATGTATAAAATTATACTAAATATTTATTTGATTGAAAGAATATCGTTGATGTTTATATCTGAAAAGAAAAATCTTTTCATAATATGTAATTTACTGGAATAAATTCCCATGAATATCACAGAGCATGATTTGATAAACTTTAGTGGGATTTAGTAAATCCTGTAAATCCAGATTTGATAAATCCTGAAAGGGTTAAATCCTAAAATCCAGATTTTAATATATATTAATTAGGCTAGTTATATTAATATTTAAGTAATAAGTATATTACTAATTAGTTAATTAAATTAAATTAGATAATTAATTTATGCACTCATTATACTATTAATTATTTAATTAATTTGCTTAATTATTAATATTTTAAATTATATTAATTAAGTTAATCAATAATAACTTAGCCATGTCTAGGGTTTGCCTTTCATCTTCTCTTTTCGTCCTTGTTGTTCAGCTTCGTTGCTTCACAGGAGGTGTAGAGATTGCACGTGTCGCTTCTTTGGCTCCTTCATAGTTGTACGACTTCGCTCCTTTGAAGACTTTCCCTTCCTGTCGGATCGTAAGTTACGAAATTTTGATTGGAAGAAACAACGGGAGTTTGTTGGCTTGCTGGCTGTGAAAGTAACTTTCTCCCTTTCGAGGCGCTGCCTCGATGCGCCTCAGCGTCTCATGCCTTGAGGCGTATGCCTCCATGGAAAAAGGGGTAAGCCTCGTCCGAAAGTTCGAGGCTTAGGCCTCAATTCGTCCAACCTCCGCCTCGATTCGAGGCGCGCCTCGAGTCGTCTGCCTCAAACGCCTTTTTAATCCATGGTGAAAATTGTTCCTATAATAAGCCACTAAGCGGCCAACATGGCTCAACACAGCCCCAATGCCTAAGTTAGATGCATCACAATCAACTTCAAATACTTGGTTCAAATTTGGATGTGCTAGAATAGGAGCGTGAGTCACAAGCTACTTCAACTGCTCGAAGCTAGGTTGTGCAATCCAGCTCCAATGAGGGTTTTTTTAGGAGCTCAGTTTAAGGGGTAGCTGTAGTGCTAAAATTCTTTATGAAACAGCGATATAAGGAGGCCAACCTATGAAGTTGTCAGACATCAGTCATGGATTGAGGTGTAGGCCAACTAGTCATTGATTGAGTGTAGGCCAACCCACAATGGCCTCAATCTTAGTTGGCTCCATCTTAATCCCGTTTGCGGAAACCCAAAACCAGGAACCTGATTGTGGTTGCCAGAAACTCACATTGAGAAGTGTTGGCAAATAACTTTTGTTCCCAGAGTATTTTTAACACAAGGTGTAGGATTTGGAGGTGCTCTTTAAACATCCTTGCTATAAACCAAAATAGCATCAAAATAAATGACAACGAACTTACTTAAAAGTGGGCTGAAGATCTTATTCATCAGCTGCATGAAAGCATTGGGTGCATTAGAGAGCCCAAAAGGCATCAAGGTCCATTGGTATAAGCCGTCACAGGTCTTGAGGGCAATCTTCCATTCGTTAGCTAGCCACATTCGTGTCATGATAGCCATTTTTTAGGTCAATTTTGGTGAAGTAAGAGGCCCAGTGCAATTGATCAAATAAGTCATCTAGTTCGGGAATGAGAAAGTAGTACTCGATGGTAATTTTATTCATGGAGCAAGGTTGTCGATTCTACCAAGACCCATCTTCCTTTGGCAAGAGGAGGATAGGAATTACGCACGGGCTGACACACGGTCGAATTAGGCCGCTTGTAATCAGCTCATCCACTTATCGATGTAGCTCAGCATATTCCTTTGGTGCCATAAGGTAAGCAGGATGGTTTGGAATGACCGATCTAGGAATGAAATCAATGGCATCCTACATCTCTTGTATCATAGGGAGCCCCAGAGGCATAGAATCTGAAAACACATATGCAAACTGCTGGAGAAGAGGTTGGATGGTTGCTTGAGACAACGGCTACTGTTTGTTAGACTTGATGATTACTAGGGCCAACCCATGGTTGACCAATCTGCATTTTTGCACAAAGCATCATTGAGGCACTACTTCCAGTCAGTGGATAGCCCGTTTGGCCAGCTCATGTAAGGGCAATAACACTGCCAAATGCCAATTGCCAATTGCCCTTCTTTGTGGAAAGACTAGGTATTATGAAACCCGTTGTGCTTGGTCCAACGATCGAATTGTCATGATCATCCAAGAAGGTGGCATGCATGCATCTATGGGAACAACATCACACATAATTTGTTAGTGGAATTTTTCTCCAATTGAAAATTGCATCAAACATAGTCTGGTGTGGAGATTTCACTTTCTTTTTGAGCATAGAAAGCCGGTAGGTTCTTGGATGTGTTGTTGGAAGATTAAAATTCTCTACTACAAGAGTGGACACCATATTTTCACAGCTCCCCCGTTGATCACAAGTTGCATATCTTGTCTTAGTAGTGCATCTTGTTATTAATATATTGTGATGGATCCATTCATTCTATTTCTCATATTATACACTCATAAGGCAGCCGACGACTAATAATTCACCTATCAGTAGGAGATGTTCTTCAGTTGGTTCTTTAACTTCTTGATCCAAGGTAGAGGGTGTTTCTCCCTGTGCTTCTTCTACTAAGGTCACCAATGACCTTGTAGGACAATGGGACGCGTTATGTCCAAAACCATGGCATTTGAAGCACTTGTGAGTGGAGAGTGAGATTATAGAGGCTGATGTTCCTATGGCTTCAGGCCGTCAACCATTGACTAGAGCTGGCATCGAAGGGACCTTAAGTGTTATTCGCCAGCTGATGTTGTTTCTCCTGGTTCATTGCTACTTTTTCTGCCTTGAGAGCAAGATTCATAGCGCGATTATTGTCCAATATGGTTGTAGTTGTACCACATTTGCAATGAATGGGTTTAAATCTAAAAGAAACTGAGCTATGGTGTTTTCTTAAGGTTCCACCAACTGCATTTCAGCCTTAATTATTCGAATTCAACCACATAACCTTCCATCGTGAGTTTTTATTGTTGAATATTATGTAGTCGAAGAAACATATCCTGGTGATAATGTGCCAACAAT